CCATGAAGGCATGCGACGTGGGTGAAATAAACAATGAACAATTACACGTCGCCAACGCGAAAAGACGCAAACGATACGATGACAGTGACCAAGCCGTGGGCTTCGGGTGGGCGAATGGACGGGATGGACAGAGTGGATTGACAGACAAACTGTGCATGTGAGAATAGAGAAGATGCTGGAAGGGCTGGAGAATTGCGAAAGCATCAGCGCGATCCAGGACAAAATGTATGAAAAGACTAGTAAGTAATTCAAGCTTGTGAGAAAAGGAAAATAAATATTATTACAACTAACTATAGCTATTACTATTGGACACTTTTTGGAGATGTCAACGTGAGAAGATGGGAAACGGAGAGGCAAATGTTGAAGCAGGACACGAAAAGTGCCGAGCGATAGCATCGTAAATAGATATGCCCGCCAGATACCAAACAGGTCGGAGAGATATACAGAAATGCACACGGAAAGACGATGAAACACGTAGGCCGGGTGAAGAGTAGGCAAGGAGACGGCTTCGCAACGCGTCCAGCCTTGAAGGCATCCCGTCGGGACTAGCGGTAGGGATACGAGTAAGAAAGATAATGGAAATGTGTTCAGAGGCAAGTGGAGAAGGAGAGAAGCGCAAAGTGAAAAGGTGGACGAAGGCGAGTAAGACATGTTGTCCTCGATGTCGCGGTTGCCAGGGCCTCCTGTGGCCCCGAAACTTTGAGTTGCCAGGCTAAGCTGTTGCTGGCCAGATGCTCGTCGGGTCGACGGCATGCAATTACATTCGAGAAGCCTGCTCGCCAGATCGTCCACATCGGACGACAGGAGCATGCCCAAAGAACGGAAGACGGACTCGCGGGGCAACTGTCAAGACGACCATCCTGCGTTAACTCGTCCGATGGACAGGGGAGTGGTACTGGTTTTCGAGGAGGCAGTACGCTCGTGCGAGTGTTTTGATGTTTTTCTGTTTTCGACGTGGTCGTGTGGACTCGCAACACATCCGTCGGAGCGGTTTGGTCGAAAATAAACGAGGAATAAGTGAAGAGGAGAGCAGAGTAAAAGGGGTGAAGCATCCAGATGCAAGGGGAAAGGGGGGTCAGGTGGGCGAGAAAGAGTGAAATAGAGGATGGGATGAGGAGAAACGATTTGAGGAAGAGACGAAATGATCAAACACTGCGACTCCATCTTCACAGAAACCCAGTCGACAGAGTCTACACTGTCTCCGCCGTGGCAGGATCGCAGCGCCAGGCTTGGCCGGCAGCTGAGGCCTGCTCGATCGGGCAGATCGGCTCGTAGGAGGAGTGCGTGACGACGAGAATGTTGGGCGAGGTCTGCAAGAGAACGGAGAAGAAGGCTATGATACGAGCGGAGAGGCATAGCAACGGACCGATTGCCAAGACGGCGGCAAAGGGTCTGGTCAAGGGAAAACATGCTAAAATGAATAGGGAATAGGGCGAGTTGAATAGAAACAAGTGCCGACATATCCTGTGGTTTCATTAAACTGTTGTCACGTGACCCTCCGTTTCGAGGGGAACGTTGGCAGGACGGAAGTTGTGATGTCGTCTCATCGGACGCCCAAAGCAGGATTGCCGCGTGGGCAAGAATGTGGAATTGTGAAGTTGAAGTAGCCACCAAAGGCATGGGAGGTCTCGTTGAGATCGCGAAGTTGGGTGGATACCAAAAAGCGAATGAGGTTACAGTTGGACGACTTGTTCTCTTGTCGCTCTGATGATGAAAAGACGAAAATTTAGCACAGTTCCATCGGGCTTCCGGTGAGACCACGTCGCGAATTCCTTCCGCCAAATTTCCCTTCGAAATACAGTTTTGCTTCATGTCTTCCATAAACTGTATTCGGACAAGATGCAGAAAGCACCAGAAAACAGAACCTTGTATCACTTACGGTCATTGGTGAGACGACTGATGGTTGAATTTGCTCGCCAGCAGAAAAGTGGATCTTAAGTTTGCATTCAATTTCGCACAGCCCTGCACCTCAAAAGGTATTCTTGTACCGGCCGGAGTGGATAGCCGTTTCGACCTCGTCTTAGCGGAGCTCATCATCAACCCCGGTGCGATTCGAAGCCGGTCTGTGCGTACTGGTGCAGCCTACAGCCTCGACATGTCTCCCACTACGCCACAGGACAGATGTGATTTTCAACAAGGGCATGCCTTTTGGGAATGCCTTTTGGGACGCAGGGCCATGCGAGATTGGGCGGAAAAGTGGCGCCCAATCAACTGATTGTGGAAGCGTTCAACTGCCAGTCCGCATAGGATCAAGACATCTCAAATGTATGATCTAAAGGCTGCTTATAAACGAAAAATAAGTAGAAAATTGTTTGACCTTGTTTTCGCAACTTGGTCATGTTGGTAGGAAGACTGATAGAAACGCACCTTGTCCTGAG